GTGTAGTTTATGGATTTTGATTCTTGCCTCTATTTTAATCGCGCTCATAACAAATTTTATGTTTTCGATCCGCATACTGCTTATGGAATCAAGATTTTTGTTTTGATGTGCAAATTGCAATTGCCAATTGGTTGGCGTAGTTTAGATTTTGATTCTTGCCTCTATTTTAATTGGGATGAGAATTAATTTTATGTTTCGATCTACAAATTGCATATGGGTTTAGGCATAAATCGGCTGAACATTTTCAGCGCGAAAAAGGCGACTCAAGGGCCTTCGCAGGCCGCGTTGGGACTACTTCGCGTGTGGACGTGTACTGCCTCAGGACCCGTGCTGCAGGAGAAGAAGGGGTGCGTCAGGTGTGAGCACCGCCAGTTACCATTGTCTGGTAAAATGCAGACAACAAAACTGTTTTTCTAAATTCTAACGGTGTACCAACGCCATTTTTGTTATGACTAAACCTCATGAAAAGGTTTTTGTAATTGTCCCGTTGGTTATGATAATATCTCCACATTATCAGCTAGCGAGTGAAGCATGAACATTTAGGTGATTTTCGTTGTTACACAAATATAAGCAGTAAATTCTTACAGAAATCCTACTTGGGATAGTACAAGTGTATTCTGATACTTCGCAGCAAAAATATAAATGCCCATGTGCCATTTGTTTGTATTTATCAAAATGCATCTAGGAGAAATGTATTTGTGGAAGTACAATGCTTTGTAGTAGCACTTAAGGGGACACCAATTAGTTTCATAAAGAAAGTTACAATGTTTATGTTGTTAGACTAAACATAATGGTGTAGCTTTTGTACTTTACTGATGTAAAAATCTGGAAGTCCATATAATAATTGAACATTTTACTTTTGACAGCTGAGAAGGCTCATTACACCACTAGATATCCAATCACTGCATTAAGGAAATACATAACGGAAAACAAATTTGCAAGCGAAGCAGATTTGAAGGCAACCGAGACCACGATTGAAGAAATTTTTGAAGATTTTGTCGAGTTTGCCGATAAAAACCCGATTCCAGCCTGAAATAAGCTGCTAGAGAATGCATTTTCCGACCCAAGGGGATTCAGAATTGGGCTTGGTGGGAAGTACAAATATGAGGACCCTAATTTTTTTTAGCTGAATCTTTACGCCTATTTCTTATTTAAACCGCAATTGCAGCCTCTATTCTTGCTATGAGTGTTTTCGATGTTGTGTTTAATTGTCCAGGCTTTTTGTTGTTTTGTTGTTTGTTTTTCATTTTTTTAAGGTTTTTTTTTTTTTTTTTTTTTTTTTTTTTTTT